AATTTTGTGTTTGTAATAAAAGGCTGAAGAAAGAATTTTGTATTGCGTGTAGCTTATGGACCTGATAATACAAGGGTTTTGTGTAGAGAACTCATAAATTGACGCCTTGGGATTACCCAGCTGGTTGGTTGGTTAGTTAAAAAAATGATGAGTAGTCTTGGAAAATCGTCCATGTATTTATGATACACATGCATTTCTCAAATTAATTTTGTATGATGTAATATGGATAATAACGTAGAAGACCTTATTCAATTAAATTGCTTTGATATTATCTACACTATCGTTTGCTAGATATTTGAGAATTGTGTGATTATGAGCATAATAGCTCTGGTGTACAACTACTTTTAAACCTTTAATTTGATTTTAACTATTCAGCAAGTGGTTGTATTACACACTGAAGTGAACTAGACTAGATTCCCATCATATAAATACCCAAAATAAATGTCTTCGGAATCAAGCCATCATGCTACTTTCAACAGGTAAGCATACATATTATTAATAGTATTAGCATGATGATAGCAAGGGTAAAAATACTCTAAACATACGAAATGATAGATACTAAAATATATGCCAAGGGTATCGTAATGCGTTGTAATCTAAATAAACCTAAGGGAGATACACGCTCAATAATGAAGAGCTATGATTTATGCATGATTCGAAAACCATATATTGAAATATTGATCTTGATCCATCAGTTCAACAACTAAATAACCCAACAATAATATACAAAATAACGGAATCACTGGTAGCTACTAAACTGCTACCAGATAAGAGATATAAATCAAATAGTATAGATAGAGACGTAGAGTATACATTCTATTGCACATTATCCTAATTTCGAATAAAGAAGGATTTTAACAGTATTTTATCTGCTTTTTCAACCTTTTTTTACTGCACACACGATTGTTTATTGCGAATTAATGCTACATGCAAAGACGGCATAAAGCAGGAATGAATTTCCAAAAATTGAATACACCAGACAAATCAGTTAGCAGATATCTAATCAAAAAGCTCTTTATCAAATTACTCAGAACCTAAGCAGGCAGATATCGCATACCATCTAATATCTCCATCCCACATGACTTCAAACGTGCGTATCATTACAAAAAGCACTTTTGAACTGTACTTTATCCAAAATTATTTCAGCAAAATAGAATTGGGTCTTCCGACAAATCTATCTGCAAGCTATGTCAACAAAGACTAGATATATGGAGGTAGGAATAATAATAATACATGCAATACGTGCATTTAAAATGCTATTTGTCAATTCTCTGTGAAACTTGGAAGCGTAAGCAGCATAAATATATGTTCCACGTATCTTGAACCATAAGTAATGCATTCTAAAAGAATCTTCCCCACTGCCTCTCATCATTAATGCGAAAATACATCTGAAAATCATGTTGTTTGGGAATATCCGTTCCATTGGTCCCATTTATTTTTCGTGCGTATCACGGTCAAACCAAGGGAAGAGATGGAATGATTACCTAAGCAATGAAAATACGTCAAATGATGCTCTGTTTTTCAATGGTGAGGCAGCCATTTAGCATGTTTTCTCAAATTTGTGCCGTCTCAAGCTTTTTAGGGCAATAATCATAATAAATATAATAAAAAAAAGTTACATCTGAAGGATTTCCATGTACAGCCCTACTAGCAAGATTCTGTTTGTTGTGAATTATTAAAAATGGGATGATCCATTCAGAAGCGTCGTACCAAAAATTAATGTGTAATAATGAAGCAACACGGCTCCGGATTACAGGTACCACAGCACCCTTTCCTCACAGTATAGGTTAATCCCTTGATTCCGTCTAAGGTAGTACTGTGGTCCTGTCATACATTCCTTGTTTACAGTCTGCGAGAGAAAGCTACAGATTAGTAATTTATGCAAAAAAGAAATGGGAAAAAGGATGTCAATCACTAGAAGAAGCTATTTATGGTCTTTCTTTCCGAAATATACTGACTTCCCATTAAGATGAGTGTGGACACAGAAAGGTCAGAATGATATAGAGGAGATATTTGAACTCTATTGTACACTTCGCATGATAACGTATAGTTTACCAGGTAAACGCATAGATATTTCGACGGCAAATCCTTGGAAGAAGGATAGTGTAAATTCTAACTGATTCTTTTTTATTGTTGAGCATAACGAAACTTCAAAACTGATCATAAAGAATCCAAATACATAGACACCCTGAGAATTCAAAATAAAAACGCCCCATGCTGTGCTGCCGTGGGAAGAAGCAGGGTGTTTTTTAAGTTTCCCCTCATAGGCATCTGGGTGAACAAAGGGGGACAGTATCTCCAAAATCCTACTGAATTAACCTGGTGAACTTTTAAATGTAAGGGTGGATTCAAGATTTGTGAGTATCAATCAAGTATTTCATAAATTTCATTGTAAAAAAAAAACTAGTGCCATGATGATCTCCTTGTCGAGCCCTTGAACGTATCCACTCTTGCGTGGAAGTTTCTTCTTGGGCCTCAAACGCAAAAATTCGAAATTCTCCATGATTGTAAAGAGGTCAAAGCTCTCACAGATGGCATATCTCAAACAGTAGTGTCCCAAACAACGATTATCTTCCTGGCAATTCTCGATGCATTTATAATCCGCAGTAGCACCGATTGCTAAGTTGGTTTCTATAATAGGCCCTCCAGATTCAATAATGTAATTTCGTCTAACTGAAGCATGGAGTGAATTCTTAGCCAAGTTGCAAGTTTTGTAGCCATTGCCATGGTGAATCTGGTTGCTTTTATGAGCTGCTAAACTCTTGCGAAAAGCCATAGCCACGAGAACATATACTCTGATAGTGCGGGTGAATCATACTGCTTGGCCCACCATTCGCACTATGAAGTATTTTTTGGCACCCAATATTACTGTTCTTCCCTGATTAGATGCTGCCCATTGTCCGTTTGGGCCAAACCCTTATTGAGGATGCCGGAGGATCCCTCGGCGCAGCTGTGGAAGTCCACTACCAAGCAATGGTGCTTGTTTGGAGCGAGATGAAAACCTCTACCGTTATTTGCATGCCTAAGGGGGGTGTTCTTTACATTTCTGCAAATGAAGATGTACTTCGCACAAGATATATTGGTACCTTTAGAAAACACGTAAAAGCAGCAATGAGTGATTCCTAATTCATTCAATTGGAGATAATTGACAACGCTGGGAAAGCCACCGTTTCTGAGCTCATTCCTGACAGATCTATGCTGTTGCGTCTTAGTGTGGTCGGCGATAAAATCATCGTCTAGGATGCCACAATTGATGAATACAGCGCAGTGATACTTGACCTCTGTGAGGAGTCTTGTAATCCAGCTTCATATTTCCGTTAATGATGACGATTCGATAATTAAAAATGTACCCTCAAATGATCATTTCAACATAATAATTTTGTAAGAGATCTGTCCAAAGACATGAAACAACAACTTTTCATCGTATCTGGGGCGTTGTAGTCAATTTGCGATGGTCAGGGTATGTGATGCTTCGTCCATTCCAAAACGTCTGTAATAATACATATAGCTTCCGGCCATTCCATGATGGTATCTGTCTATATTAAAGATTAAGAACGTGCTGAAAAGGAGCTTGGATCAAGGTTTCATTTAAAAAAAAAGAGCCAAGGTGGCGTCTATAAGTGAACAATAAAAATATCAACTATTAACGTTGAATAGACCTGATTAAAATGTGGTAAGAAATCACAAGAGTTTTGGACACTGTACGTAGATAGACTCGAGATTTTTAAATACCAATTTTCATGGTTTTCATTATATGAGATAGTACAAATTGTGGCGAAAAGGCAGTGATATAATGCATTGCCAGTCAATAAAGCTCGTTCAGTATTGAATACGACATGGTGCACGAATCCTTTCGCGTAAGCTTAAGTGTTTGTAAATATCAACATATCAACTGGCCTATACATTTATAGGTGTTTATGCCAATATAGATATCCAAGAGATAATGGCACCAATTGGTTAGGAAGGTAATAGGGACTATGTAGTGTTAGTAAATACCAAATTCTTGTTGTCTGTTTGAAACTTATTTCATAAAATCACTTTCTTTGTTACTATCGACTTCTACTCAACTACAACGTGAACTGTGTAATCAGAGCTACAAAGTAACATAAGCCTTTCCAAGTATTACTCGCTGAAGAGCTAGAAGCTGCTCTGGATAGTTTGACAGCTTCAATTAACTACCTCAGCAGCAAATCAGCTGACTTGTCTCATTCAATTTTCCATCAAGGTACAGAGAATTAACATAATCCAGTTTTCCGCTCCCTTCTCTGTATGTCATTTACAAGACTATACCGTTTGTAGCTCCTTGTGAAGTCTGACTAATGCGGGATAAACTGCTATACTCATGAATTATTTGGAAACCTTACTAATCCTCTCATACCACATCACCGAAAAACACTTCTTTGTTTCTCATAGTCTCCTGTAGAGCTATCATTGATTTACCAAAATCAGCTCTAAAAAAGGTACTAGTACACGTAACATTCTAACAGATGTTATTGATGCAACGAGGGTGAAGTGCAAATCCGAAATCACAAGGCGCTGCTCTATCCATTATGAAAGGAATCAAATTCTAAGTAATATCTGAACAGAGTTGCAGGTAAATAGTTTGCAGTGTAACTCTACGCCAGATTTTCTTTTCTCAATGGAATCGACGTAAGGTCTTTCTCCTTGGATCCAGCTAAATAAGAGATATCTGTGCAACATATTCTGGTGCTACAATAAATAATTCCCTCGCTGAATGATTTTGTCAGGGTGCTTTCTGGAGTGCATGATCGTGGCACAGCAATAATGTAATTCCCTTAGTTTTGTGTGATCCATGTCTGCGGAAAATATTTGACAAATTCACTGATTATAGCATACATGATGTCTTTACAGGTACCATCAAGTACCGGGAATACCTGATAACTTTTTCCCAACCTCTATGAGAAAGGAGATGCCACAGGAGTATAAAAGGATCCCCAGTTATTCATTGCCATCTCCTTTTATTCCTGTATTAACTAAAAATGCAATTGCCATCTCTTTCTTCTGTTGCTATCTCTTTACTGGTGGCTGCTAACGCTGCTACTTTGGTCCAGGCCAAGGTCAAGGTCTTGTCTTGGGATGACGCTTACAAAAAGGCCGATGCTTTGGTTGGCAAAATGTCCCTTGAACAAAAGGTGAACATTACTACTGGAACAGGATGGATGGTTTGTAATTCTGAGCAGTTTCACATGCCTTCCTTGTAGTAATTTTGAATTCTTTTTAGGCTGGTCGCTGTGTTGGTAACACATACGCTATCAGCAATCCTGACTTTCCCTCTTTATGTCTCGAAGATGCGCCCTTAGGTAGACTCTTTTACTGGATACTGCAAATGAGATACTAACGTCTTCTATGTACAGGTATGCGTTTTGCTAGTAATGTGACATCAGGCGTGTCAGGCATTAATGCTGCTGCTTCCTGGGACAGGAAGGTACAGTAAATGTATTTCTCAGAGCATTTAGATCACAACGCTAATCTCAAGTTTGTAGGCCATCTATGAACGTGGTGTATACATGGGACAGGAGTTTCACGGAAAAGGTGTTCATATTCAATTAGGCCCAGCCATGAATTTCATGAGGTACATAAAATTCAACTACACATGGCTTTTCTACAATCTTCTAATGCAAATTCTCAACTCTATAGAAGTGCCGAAGGTGGTCGTGGTTGGGGTAAGCCTTTTAGATTGAAAAAATTCCATCAGTTACTAACAATATTTCGCTCATGTAGAGAGCGGTGGTGAAGATCCATACCTCCAAGGTGTTACTGCAGCCGAAACCATCAAGGGTATCCAAGAGCAAGGTGTCATTGCTACTGCAAAGCACTTTATCTTGAACGATCAAGAACTCAACAGAAAGACTGGCTCCTCTGACGCAGATCAAAGAACCTTGCACGAAATATATCTCTGGCCATTTGCGCGTTCTGTCGAGGCTGGTGTTGGCTCCATCATGTGTAGTTACAACAGATTAAACGGCACTTTTGCCTGTGAAGACGACTACACCATGAACACTGTGCTGAAGGGTGAGCTTGGATTTAAGGGTTTTGTTCAATCGGATTGGGCGGCCACCATGTCAACGTCTCCGTCTGTCAATGCAGGCCTTGATATGACTATGCCTGGTGATATCACCTTCCAATCTGGCGATTCTTACTTTGGTCCCAATTTGACCAAAGCTGTCAACAACCATGAGGTCAAGGAAGAGCGTGTTACTGACATGGCTACGCGTATTGTCGCTGCTTGGTACAAGATGGGTCAAGATAAGGGGTAAGATTCAATTATATACTATGCCTGTGCTGCAACTTACAAGAACCATGTAGATTCCCCGAGACTAGTATCAATGCATTCCATAGAGACCAGGAAGATTATGTCAATGTGCAAGCTGACCACAAGAAGCTCGTTCGTGAAATGGGTGCTGCTTCTAACGTCCTTCTCAAGAACTCTGGCATTCTTCCTCTTGACACCAAGAAGATCAAGTCGATTGCGTTGGTTGGTAGTGACATCAAAAATGGTGCTTCGTAAGTTGTTTGTTAGCTGAATGTCTGCTGTTGTACTCATGCAGTATCTATAGAGCTGTCAACGATGCCAAAACTTGCGCCGATCATGGTTGTTCTGATGGACATCTTGCTCAAGGCTGGGTAAGCGATGAAATCAAATCTTGGCGTTGAACAATGTTTCTAATTTATTGAGATCTACTAGGGATCCGGTACTGCTGATTTCCCTTACTTGATCGATCCTCTTACTGGACTCACCAATGCTCTTGGTAAGGGTGTCAAGATCCAATCTTCCACCGATGACTGGGACCTCAAAAAGGCAGCCGATGCCGCAAAGGGTGCTGATGTCGCTTTCGTTTTTTCCACTGCCAACTCTGGTGAGGAGTACATTGTTGTTGATGGCAATGTTGGCGACCGTAACAACCTTTCATTATGGAACAATGGTGACAACTTGGTAAGTTAGACTTGTTTACTGAGCAACACAACGCTAACGTTATTCACAACAGATCAAGGCTGTCGCAGACGCCAACAAGAACACTGTTGTGGTTCTCCACACTGTTGGTAGTGTATTAATGCCTTGGATCAATCACCCCAACATCAAGGCTGTCATGATTCCTGGTCTCGCCGGTCAAGAGTCTGGTAACTCTCTCGCCGACGTTGTTCTTGGCAAAGTCAATCCTTCTGGTCGTCTTCCATACACTATCGCCAAGGAGAATGATGATTACAATGTGCATCCTGATCCCGCAGACCATGTTCTCTACTCTGAAAAGCTGTTGGTCGGATACAAGTGGTTTGATCATGCCAAGATTGAGCCTCTCTTCCCCTTCGGTCATGGCTTGTCTTACACCAAGTTTGACTACAGTGGATTGAAGGTCAAGGCCATGAAGAAGAAGGGCTCTGTCAGTGTCACTGCTTCTCTTTCTGTCAAAAACTCTGGTAAGCTTGACGGTGCTGAGGTTGTCCAAGCCTACATTTCATTCCCTGAGAGCGCTGGAGAGCCACCCAAGCTTCTTCGTGGTTTCGACAAGGTATATTAGCAGTACGGATGCTTCATATCATACGCTTATATTGACATTTCCATTATAGAAAACAATCAAGGCTGGCAAGATGGCTAAGTTTGATTTTGAATTCACCGAGACTGAGCTCAGTATCTGGGATGTTGACGCTGCTAAATGGGCAGTTCCTTCTGGTAAGTTTACTCTCCAAATTGGTGCCTCCAGCCGTGATATTCGTCAAACTGCCAGCTTCACTCTTTAAGCACTACAAACTTCAACGACAATAAAAAATCACACATTTCAACCCTATTGACTGCACACCTATTAAGATCTAACTTATTTCAATAAAATACTACTTTTAATCTATACAATGAATCCAGATGCACTCTTAACAGTAGAAATATGCTCCTGCGAAAAGTTGGGACACAAGATGATCGAAATGACCACACTGTGCTACACAGCATGGTGAATATTTTCGCCGAGATTTGTTTGCTTATTCTCCGTAGACATCTCACACGCCTTCCAAATATAGTCGTCAAGACGGGAAACTTTGTAAATGTGGGGAAATCCCTTAAATGACGGATCAGTTTAAGGATTTTTCTCAGGGACCGGCTATCCCTATTTAAACACACTGTAAGCTGTTTTCTCTGTCTTTGTAAGCAATTGCTAATGACCTACTGTTGGTTAAAAGCAGACATTTGTGCGCATGAATTTGATTGAATAAAGCGGTATTAGCTGTATACAGTATTTCATCGATCCCGAGAGTTCATACTAGTTTAAAGAAATTGTCCGAGTATGTGGTACGAACATTTCATATAGTGAGCGTAATATTATGTTTTATATACAGGACTGATGATGGTAACTCGATGCCTAGAGCCTGGCACTCCCTCTCTGGTATTTTATTGCAAAATTGATATTTAATAGCTAGTATAGTGTTGCAATTGTATTCTCAACATGAATCGTTCTCTTACAAACGTCTAATTGTCTATTTTGATCTGACTCATGCAATTAGTGATAACATTCAACACGGCAAGGTTTACTAAATGTCAACTTGATATGCGAAATAATATTGAATCGTAGATGAATATATTATTCCTACCTGTATAGCGAGCAATTATTCAGCTGATACCTAATAAACAGAAATACAGTAGCGTTGATCCCGCCATTTTGGTTTACCCGAATTTGTATGTAACTAAGGCCATTATCGTGAGATTCTAGAGGAAAAGCCTGTGAATTGAAACAATCTTTTCTTTGTTTACTATCAACTGATTGAATACACAGGTTTCTTCCCTAAGATTCCCAGATAGCACTGTGAATACACCTGGAGACCAATGAATAGTTCTGTATTTTGTTTTTCAACAAGTGTAACGCACCTTCTGCTCAAATGGCTAGTATCGAATTCTTGTAGCATGCTGTTGCTTTGCTGCCTAACTCGATGCTACCAGTTTCATAAAGTCAGATGACTATACTCTTATTTATGTCTTCTTTAATGCAAATAGCCGTAATGAGCATCTGGTATATGTCAATAAGATAATAAACATGTATGAAATGTATATACAAATAAAACAACAGAAGTCAATGCTCTTTCACTCAATATTGATACATCATAACCATTCGGCATTCTATTTTGTAGTTAAGGCCTTGGATACCAATGATCTCATTCATGTATGTTTGCCCCGGTGTGAAATGGAGACTCGAGAATACCGTACGTTATTCAGTCAGTTGAGTAAGCACTTACTAAGGCAAAAGAGTAATTATACAACTGCTACCATTTATTAACCAGAAAAGCGTGATTACATAATAGCAAAGCTCTATACACCGCCCACAACCCCATTCCTTCTTGATTCAGCTCATCGCAGGTTGCACCTATTCATCTTTGGGAGATCAATGTAACCTATCCGATTGAAATTCTCAGAGAATAGAGCAACAACAAAATGCGCTGACAAATACAATGCTTTTCAATGAGCTCGCTTACCAAATCCAAGAGGTTCATTGATAATTAATGATAAATTAGTCATGTTTACAACGAACTAAGATGCCATTGTAACAAAAATTGGGAATTTTATATTTACAGAATCCAAACAAATCCAGCTTCTGGGATGCCTTGTGCGCGTTCTAGGACCTCCTTTGCTCTGATATGATATAACATCACAATATACCATGCATTCTGTGCAGTTATACTGCACTGAATAGTATGCACTGCCATTTTTTTCGTATTCAACTCACACATCAACCTTGTATATTTCCATATCATGTTTTTTTGAGTTCTGGAGATATTCGACTCAAAGTAGGATTCATGTTTCACGAATATTTTGTAAATTTCCCCGGCAAATACCACCATTAAACTAGACCAGATTCAGTTGTAGTATACAGTAATGGATATGACAAGACATCATTTTGTGCTTTTCAGTAGCGTGTGCGCGAAAGATTATAAATACTCGTAAGAAACAGCGCTTCTCCTTTTCCGCATCAGTAAAATATTACAATGCATTTGCAAACACTTTCCAGTTCTGCATTGACATTACTATTGGCATTTAATGCCGCCACTTTGGCTCAAGCCAAGGTCAAGATTCTATCTTGGGATATGGCCTATGAAAAAGCTAAGGTGCTTGTGGACCAAATGTCTATTGATCAGATGGTGGACATCGCCACTGGTGTGCAATGGGTTCGTATAGATTGACATGAGATTCAGCTATTCAACTGATATCTATATAGCAAAGAGGTCTGTGTATGGGCAATACTTATGGAACAGAGGAACCCTACTTTCCATCATTGTGTTTGCAAGATTCGCCCTTGGGTGTACGGCACGCAGCAAATGTCACAAGTGGCACGGCCGGAATTAATGCTGCTGCTTCTTGGGACAAGAAGGTATTACAGTGAAGTTTCATGGTGTCCATATTTAAGAAGTATTGCTGACTTAATATCGGTAGGCTATTTATGAGCGAGGTGCATACATGGGAAGGGAATTTCGTGGAAAAGGCGCACATGTCCAGTTAGGTCCTGGAATGAATTTTATGAGGTGAGTAATAATTACATTGTATTTATGCGCATTCGTGTTCATATACATTGTCAATAGATCACAGGAGGGCGGTAGAGGCTGGGAGAGTAAGCTATTTAGATTAACTTGTCAATTGAATGACCCCAGAGCCTAATTATACTTGTAGGTGCTGGTGAAGATCCCTATCTTCAAGGTGTTACATCTGCCGAGAACATCAAGGGTATTCAGGATGAAGGCGTTATTGCAACAGCCAAGCATTATCTCTTGAACGATCAAGAACTGAACAGAACCACTAGTTCGTCAGACGTAGATCAAAGAACTCTGCATGAAGTCTATCTCTGGCCATTTGCACGCTCTGTCGAGGCTGGTGTTGGTTCAGTCATGTGCTCCTACAATTTGGTCAATGGCACATATGCTTGTGAAGATGATTACCTCATGAATACAGTCTTGAAGGGTGAGCTTGGATTCAAGGGCTTCGTTCAATCTGACTGGCAAGCAACTCATTCTACCGTAAAGTCGGTTAACGCTGGTCTTGACATGACAATGCCTGGTGACATTGTCTTCTTCTCAAACAGTAGTTACTTTGGAAAGAATCTGACAGATGCTATTGAAAGAAAAGAGGTGCCTGAGGAGAGAGCCGCTGATATGGCCACCCGTATCGTTGCTGCTTGGTACAAAATGGGTCAGGATACAGGGTAAATTCCACAAAAGAGTAATGTGGCTATTGCGATTGACACTTCACCTGTAGATTTCCGAATTTGACTCTTTCATCCTTCCACATGGAAAACGCCCCATTTGTTGATGTCCAGGCTAATCATAAAGAGCTGGTTCGTGAGATGGGTGCTGCTTCCACTGTTCTCCTTAAGAATGCTGATAGTGCACTTCCTATTGACCCTAAGAAGGTCATGAAGATTGCAATTATTGGCTCTGATGCTGGACCTGACCCTAATGGTCTTAATTCTTGCTCTAGCCATGGCTGTAGCAATGGTACATTAGCTCAGGGCTGGGGTTCTGGCACAGCTGATTTTCCTTACTTGATTGATCCTCTTGCTGGTCTCACCGCTGCTTTTGGAAAAAATGTAGAAATCAAATCTACGCTGGACGATTGGAATCTTGAAAAGGCTGCAGAGGTGGCCACAGATGCTGATTACGCCCTGGTCTTTTCCAATGCCGACTCTGGTGAACAACACATTGTTGTTGATGGTAATGTGGGTGATCGTAACAACTTGACTTTGTGGCACAACGGTGATGCATTGGTAAATGAGCATGCGCAACAAACTATCGCAGTGGTTAATTAACTCTTGATTCGTAGATCAAAGCAGTTGCTGACGCAAACAAGAACACGATCGTTGTTATTCACGCTGTTGGTGCTGTTATGATGTCGGAATGGATCAATCATCCTAATGTCAAGGCTGTTGTGTGGCCAGGCCTTCCAGGTCAGGAATCTGGTAACTCTCTTGCTGATATTATCACCGGCAAAGTCAACCCATCTGGCCGTCTTCCTTACACTATTGCCAAGCAAGAGTCTGATTACAATGTCAAACCTGATCCCAGTGCCGTTATTCAGTACAATGAAAAACTGTTGGTTGGTTACAAGTGGTTTGATCATGCCAAAATTGAGCCCCTCTTTCCTTTTGGTCATGGTTTATCTTATACCAAGTTCAATTACAGTAAGCTAAAGGTCAAGGCCAAAAAGAAGAAGGACACTGTCACTGTCACCGCCTCTCTATCTATCAAAAACAGTGGTCAATTGGATGGTGCTGAAGTTGTTCAAGCTTATATCGAATTCCCAGAGAGTGCTGGTGAACCTCCTAAAAATTTGAGAGGCTTTGAAAAGATAATGATCAAGGCAGGCAAGAAGACCATGGTTGATTTCGAATTCACCAAGACTGAACTCAGTATCTGGGATGTTGATGTGAACGATTGGGTTATTCCTTCTGGCAAGTTTACCCTTCATATTGGTGCCTCTAGCAGAGACATTCGTCAATCTGCTAGCTTTACTCTTTAGATAGTTTCTCTACTTGAGCACATCCCTAATCATAACATAATAAATCTTTAGTCCCTAGACACTTTCACAACGCTAATATGGAAACTAAGTTGCCAGGTATTTGTTAGGCCAGGCTCATATATGATCAACCAGCCCCACTAGCCAAAATTAATTCAAACCTAGAATCGTAGTCTGTTCCAGATTGGCCAAATTCTGATGATCTTCGACTTGATCAAACTATTTTGCTAGATTCGACTATTTGAAATGTGATAATCAGCCCGTACTTCCTAATACACTGAAGCTCCTCCCCCTTCTAATGATACCCAATCTGATGTTATTTCAGATTCTATGCAACAACTGTTTTCTGATGCTGCTGACCCACCCATTGTTCCCGATGGTTCTACTTCTTCAGCTTCTTCTACAACTGCGCCTCTGGCGGTCAAAATCCTTGCCTATGCGGATGATACTTTGGTGTATCTTCGCGACACGCACGATTTCCATCGTTTGCAGGCTGCCATCACTACTTACATGAAAGCTTCTAACGCATTATTGAATTATCACAAAACAGTAGCTACATCTCTTTCAGGTAAACCATCAACAACTTGGCAAACCCTGCTCTCATCTTATGGCATCACCGCTTGGCATGATCGCACATCCACCACTCCACTCATTTATCTCGGTTATCCAATTTGTTCCAGCATTACTCAACGCAATGTTGCCTTTCAAAAACTGTATGACTCCATCCGTAACGCTATTGCTATCCACTCCCAACGCAATATCTCTATCCGTGGCCGGGTCACCATTCTCAATTCACTCATTTATTCCAAATTATGGCATGTTTTACGACTCACAACATTCACCAAGGCCCAGTTGCTCTCTTTACGAAGCCTGGGTACCGCCTTCATTAATTTTCGTATATTCCCTAAACTCTCTTTTGCTACTCTCTCTTTACCTCGCTCTGCCGGTGGTTTGGGGCTCCTAGATCCTCTCTCTCAACAACAAGCTCTGCAATGGTACTGGGTGTGCCCTCTATTGCTTCAATATCTTGACTCTCCGGCCTTCTCCAAGTACAACACTCCTTCGCTTCCTGTCTTAACTTATACTCTTTCTTGGTGCTACTCCTCCACCGTCTTCTCTCATTTCTTTTACTACCTCTTGTTTCAGCATGCTCGCCATCGGTTGTGGTTTCCTCAAAGTCCATCCCGTCGCAATACTTATCTCAATCCAATCACTAATCTTCAGTCCTGCTTGTCCATCTTTCAGATGTCAGAACGTCGTAACTTATATGTTGATGCTATTACTTGCTACTCACTCCCTCTTTATGAAATACTTTTACATTCTCCTCCTACTATTAACAATTTATATTCTTCTAGCTTTATACCACCGAATCTTCTTTTAGATGGCTCTGACGTTGCCAGAAAGCTTCTTGTAAGCGAGGTTTTCCAGTTAGATATTGATCATCAGGTGCTTCGTGTTCGTCCTTCCTTCCAATTCGCTCGCCATCCTATTGTATCCCAACGTGTTGCTGATTTCATTCAGTCGCGTCAACTACTATTCCAACCTTTCTTTGCACAACAGTGCTTCATTGCTCCTCGTCCAACACTCAACCCACATCAACCTCCCTCCCTTCGAGCGTTCTGCCGTAGCATTATCGTTTCTCCTTCTTCCTTGCCTTCGCGAGGCCGGTTGCCGCTCAACAGCATCCGTTACTTCAAAAAACTAAGTCAAAACCTCTCCTCTACTTCCTCCTCACTCTCTCCTCTCCGGCCGGCTCAATGGCTCTCCTTCTGGAGAATCTCAATCCCCCTGGCTGCTCGCACGGTCTGGTACCGAGCTATTTACGAAAAAATCCCTTCAAGAGCTCTGCTACATTTACGCATCCCCGAAAAACACCCTTCTCCCCTATGTACCATCTGCTCTGCCTCTACCACGGAGGATATCACCCATACTCTGTTCTCCTGCCCTCCCAAGTTATTGGTCTGGCGACACATGTACCACACCTATCTCTCTGCTTCTTCCTCAATCTCTGATGTTGATCTGATTCATTTCTTCCAACAAATATTACTCTGTTCCTCTCCCTATCTTGATCGTGATCTCTCTCTCTCGTTCAATGATCTCTCTATTCCTCAACTTTTCGCAACTACTCTGCTGACAATATGGCAAGCGCACTGACGCTGGATCTTCGACCGAACCCCGTTCATCGCTGACACTGTTCAACATCGTCTTGCTCGCTCTCTTGCTCGCTTGGATGCCGAGTTAAAGCTAGATTCGTAAGTATTCAGTTTTTCCTCTTTTATCCATTTGCTCTTTTCTATCTGTTATTTTTATTTTTTTCTTTCGTTCCTCCGATCCTCTTGTAATCATACCCAGTCTTTCCTATCACTCATAGCGACATTTGAAGGACTTAAAATAAAAACTGGAGCTCGTCTCCCCTACAAAAAAAAAAAAAAAAAAAAAAGTACTTCCTAATACATTCTTGGAGTACGTTTCAAGGCGTTTCCAATGGTGCCAAGTAAAATAAATGTTTTGACTGAATTTATCGAGCAATTCAAGAAAATATGAAAAGCGGTTTTTGGCCAAAATGTCAGGATTTTGCATATAAAGGCCTCGCAAAAGTGGTTTCAGAGGTTGCTTTGGATCGAGAGAAACATTTTGATTCATGATATACCATATTAAAAGTCTTCATTATCAAGGTCAAAAAACGCGATCGTTTGATTTTCAATGAAAACCATGAGGGGTATCTCATGCTTTTTGGTCGATTTTTGGCCGTTTTTTTTGATCCCCAAAAAGTTGAGTAATGGTGTCAGAAAGTAACTGCCGGATGAGAGCAATTGTTTGATGCTATTCTGACGATCTAAAACGGCCTTGAACTCGAGAAAACGTATTTCAAATGCGCTCAGATCTTGCTGTATTAGGAACACTAAGGACTAAAAAGGGGAAACATCAGTATGTTGCTTGTCCGTATATGAAGTAGCTACGCTACGTGTATATGGATGTAGAGCATCACATAAGAATCAGATCCGCAGATAATATAAAGGGTTTTTTATGTCTAATTGGACGGCCAAAACGAAAGTAGCAGTATTTTGATGAGATACGCAAGGGCAATCGGTAGCGCGAACTGCCGCTGGGCAAGTTGGTTCTCACCGAAGCGAAACGAAGATCGTAGAGGGTCATCCGAAGCGTAAACACTCGTAAAAAATAATGATTCTGCCAAGCTACAATGTAATTTGAGGCTGGCTTCTTGTAATGTAGGTTGCTCAAATGCTCAGAATGGCACTAGAACCGTGTGATATTACGTTCAGGACATGCATTGCTGTTGATTTGGTTATACTTTACATTCTTTTCTGTATCACAGCAATGGCTATATTAAATTCAATATTCAGCGGTAGAAACTGCAGCGTAAAACTGCTCCGTGTACGCTATAAACAAGTAAAAGACGAAAAAAGACACCCAACTCTCTCAATAAAAAACCAAAATAATCAGTAAAGCTTTGTGCATCTTTTGATATTGCGTTTGTTCGGATTGCTTGTGGTTTTTGCAATTCTTTTGGATCAGATGAGATTTTGTTTGAAGCTTTTTGACCGTTTTTGGACAAGTAAATTTTAAAACGAGGCCAAACATTGTTTAAACATGCTAGAAACTTGATTCTTTTACCATTAAAAAGCCGAGATGCAGGAATTTGTTGGCGCAGATATTTACGTATTCACTTTCTGAACTAATGGGGCTATAACGTCTGCAAGTTGTGCGTTTTGTCTGAAAACGGGCCAAAAATATTTTGAATATGAATGATAATGCTGAGCTTGAAAAATGGTATTGTTAGTACAGTGGCTAATTGATGTGGCTCGTGCAAAATTCAAGTTATGCCACCTTTTTAGGTGCAATAGTCGACCATAACATCAGATAGTTATGTGTCTAAAACGCCTTGGTTGGCTATCCCATATTCCATTGAATCAACAGCTCAAAAGACGCCGTTCAAAAGGCTGGGTGTCGAATGCTTGCAGAAGAGTACAATTAGGGCCACAAAGTGGATTTTCATAAAGTGGATCAAACAGTGAATTTGACAGTAATTGACTTCATAAGGACTTTAAAGCATAACGACGTTGACATTAGTCTATAGCTAAACCAAATGTATACACGTTGTTATATGCTGTATTTTGCATGCTTTATACAATAAAATCCACGAAATTTGTTCCCATCATGATATAGGTGGTATGATGGCATGGCCTTACTCATATGTTATCACAAAATTGGTGCACTACCACTGCCAAATCAATTTATTCAGGACCTTGATTTGATTGATCTACCCCAAGCTGCATAAATTGCATTCAATGCCAGATCTTACCATAGCCGGCTTACCATATGTTTGCAGGGCATAATCATGAGACTATAAATAGGCGACTTTTTCATTTGACATGTGAAGTTCATTTGGTAACAGCCACCTCAACAAGTTTTCATTCAGGCGCCAAAATGCTTTGTAGCTGACTGCATTTACTGAAACCTCTTTCTATGTGAATGTGTACAAGACGATCATTCGTGCTTGACTGTCCATCCAGAAGATGATGCCATTAATTTCCATCATTGCTACATAACTAAATATCAGTCTAATAGCAGATTATACACTCTTGACGCACACTTGATTCTGTTTTTTGGTAATCCACATTGCAGCACGTTCTTTGAGGATCAGATAACAGCATTTTACATCTGTTCAAATACAAACTAGACTAGAACGTTCCATTTTTTCGCCTCTCACTGAACAAACAAGGCATCCAATAGCATTTAGGCTGTTTATTAAATGTTTGTTTACCTGGCTATCTGGCGTCGTGTTAATGGGAAAGTGGCTTCATCAACGTGGATGTGAATCTTCAGGCTACTCTTTTCGCAGCTCTGACAGGCTGTAAGAACAGACAGCAAAAGAAGCAAGAATACGTGCTTAAAAAGTAATGATGTATGAGTGATGTCTTGTAAAAGAGTTGCATCTACTAGTTACACATTGTATTTTCTTTACGTCATGTAAACTTTTTGGATCTACAACAACACCATAAAGGAAAGGTGACTGTCGCGTCTCGCAACGAAGCTTCATGGTGACCTCATTTGAGTTGCATAAACTGAGACTACAGAAGGCTTTGATATAAAAAGCCCAAGGAATTTGTCTACTAGTCCAGTTGCTATTTTCTTTTTTGAATCTTTACATATTTTACACACACTTTTTTACACAATGAAACCCTCAAGATACATTGCTCTTCCCTTGGCTTATGCTGTCTGTCTCGTGATGCTTGCTAATGAAGCTCAAGCAAAGGGTAAGTCTCTTTAAATACATTGATCTCTATCCATCATTTCGTCTGACATGTGAGCCATGGATAGCTGCTACCACCAAAGTCGAAGATGTGACCAATTGGACCAAGGATCAAGTTCAAGCTTACCTCGACAAGTACCAAATCGCCTATGATAAGAATGATGAGAGTCTCTTGGACACTGTCAAACGCTATCGTGATGCCGCAGTGGCCAATGCAGGTATTTTTATCAGTGATAAGGCTGACAGTGTTACGCGTTTGGTGGAGGGCCTCAAGATTAAGCTTGAAAAGCAATACAAGCTGTCTGCCAACAATGTCGATGCATTATCCAATGATCTCTCTCATGAATTGAAGCAACTTGAATTGAGTGGTAGTTTAACACAAGACAAGGTAAAGCAAGCTTTAGACAAATACCAACACAAGGCTATCAAGCAAAAGTATGTCACTGCTGCTCAATGGAAGGACATCTCCAACGACATCCAAGGCTCTTTTGCTAGTCCTAACTGGTATCAACGTATCTTTGGTGGTGGACCCTCTCACTCCAAGCTCTTTGCTGAAGACTCCTTCCACACATGGCTCACTACCAGTGTTACTCAACGCTTGCAACAAAACAAAGACTTGACCAAGGCCGAAATTGACTCTGTTGTTGACTCCTTGAATAACGCTATCACCACCACATCCTCCTCTGTGCAAGATCTCTCCAAGTTGGGCACTGCTGCTTGGTGGAAGCAATTCTCCAAGGATCTCGAGAAGTCTGCCAAGCTCAAGCAAAACCAAGCTGATGCCGTTGTGGAATCTTTGAAGGATGAAGTCAACGCCTACAAGATCTTCGCTATTGACTATGCTGGTGAAACTGCTCAACAAACACAAAACTACTTGTTGAATGCTGCACAATATCTCAAGGACGCTGGTTACGATATCTATCAAAAGGTGGTCCATCCTTTGCAATCCAACCCTGAGAAGGAAGCTAAAGTAAGTGGTGCTCTCTACACTGCCTCCAGTGCTGCTGCATCTGCTACCAGTGCTGCCGGTGCTTCTGCTTCCAGCCTCCATGCTGCCGCTACTGACGCTGCTGCTGCTGCTACTGATGCTGCTGCTTCTGCCACTGATGCTGCTGCCTCCTCTGCCTCTGTCTTGCGCGCCCAAGCCAGCGAATCTGTCTATAATGCAAAGGATAACTTTGGCCGATTCTGGCGTCAAAAGGAATTAGAGACCTACAAGAAGATTGGTTATACTGAAGCCCATATCAATTGGATTGAAAACTACCTCTCCAAGACCTTCCACGCCAATACCGACTTTGCAAAGGATACTGTGCAAAATGCAATCCGCACTATTCGCCAATATCTCGTTAACGCCAAGGTCCAAACAGCCGCCCACGTCGATAGTCAATTAAAGTCCATTGAAGGTCTTATTGAATCTTGGAGACGCACTGTTGTCCGTGATGAATTGTAAATAGTATATCATCATGACTTCATCATCATTAAATCACATCCAAAACACTCACTTTTCTCCTTCCTAATAATACTTCCTATTATTTATACATATATTCGTCTTGAACCCTATGCACTATCAAGCAAAAAAGCGAGACATTATTATCATTCTCCCACTCTTTTTCCTCTCATGTTTGCTTCCACAAAATAAAAAAATTCAAGTAGTTTAAAATTGAAACAGAGGGGTTTGTCATGAACATGTTATCATCGCTGAATCTATCTTGGCAATATCGAGATGCATGCTTTCTGACAAAGCGTGTAGACATATGCACACTGATCGAGGCAAGATGCGATAGTCCAATGGCATGAACCCGCCTTTAATTGTAACATCATAATATAAGACACGGCAATGCCTCTCAAATGTAAGTTGCAATCATCGGTAAGCTAAAACCTGCCCCAAATTGCGTTGTAATTGTAATACAGGTTATGTTTCTGATGCCTATTGTCTTTATTGTTTGTCGCTACTATAAAGAGGATTAACAATAGATTGCATTTTACTGAATTACGTGTGAAAAAGTAAAGTAAATCATTGATGCTTGTTGATTTCACAATACAGAGTAGCAGGTACCAAATGTTGGGCGCTCAGGATGTACATGAACAAGCGCTGTTGACATCTCGGCGCATAGCAGCGCAGCCCTTATTGGCCAGATAAAATGAAATATGTGTTCTGTGTAATGTTCCTGTTGAGTTGAGCTTTCTTCAAATATTGAGATTGATAAATCATACATATGTAATTATAGTTTATTACGACGCTAGAGAAAAAAAAATCCAATCAATGGGGCAAAAACTTTGAAGATAGGTGAGCATGCTAAGAGGATAGCGATAAAAAAAAAAAAAGTCGTTCTATTGTTCTTTTTTTTTTTTTTTTTTTTTTTTTGTAGTAGGGTCGAAAAAAAATCACCTCATTTTCCAGCATTTAAAACGTAAGCCCTGAAATCTCAGGACCGTTCCAAAAAAAGGGGGAAATCTTGGTCAGTTTGACGCGACTTAACCTTTATTTTGTCGTATGAATACTAGAACTATTTGCCTGAGTTTTGTTGCTTCGTAGCAAACATTGAGAAAGGAAGGGGATACAAGGAGCAAACACATTTGACAATGCTGATTGTCAAACAGAGGATCCCATTGTTCAGATAAAGCATCTCACTAAACATCCAGATCATTGGCTGGAATCCTCCCCAAATGCACTCCTCCCCCAGAAGCCCAACATGTTTTACATCTGATCAGATCCTTACATAACTGCCACTTTCAAAATTAGTTTAAATAGGAGGGTACATGATCTGCTCAATCTCTCTTCTTTAACGTTACTTGCACCATCAAACAGCATGTCAGCAACAGCAATTACAACACAAGTAAACACGAAGGGAAAATACCCTCCTTATGCTTACACACAGACGGAGGATCGTCAGCTTCCATTGGCCAATCCCAAGATGCCTCCTTTGTTTGATGAGCCTACTACACTCCAGAACTTTGCCAGCCATGTCAACTGGTTTCAATCTATCCTCCTGATTTCAACTCCTCTTTTGGGTATCTACCTTGCCTCCAAGACTGAATTGCAAACAAAGACATTGTACTGGGCAATCATTTACTATTTGATCACTGGTTTGGGTATCACTGCCGGCTACCATCGTTATTGGTCTCATAGATCCTACGATTGCACCTTGCCTACTCGCATTGCTCTTTGCTTGGCTGGTTCAGGTGCGTTCCAAGGTTCTATTCATTGGTGGTCTCGTGGACATCGCGCTCATCATCGTTGGACTGATTCTGACAAGGATCCTTATGCTGCTCCTCGTGGTTTCTTCTTTTCTCATATTGGCTGGATGTTGATCAACAGACCCAAGAACAGAATTGGCTATGCTGATACTGCTGATCTCAAGGCTGATCCTCTTGTTCGTTTCCAACATAAAAACTACATCTATTTCGCTGTCTTCATGGCCTTTGCTTTCCCTACTTTAGTCGCTGGTCTCTTGTGGGGTGATTGGAAGGGCGGCTTCGTCTTTGCTGGTCTTTGTCGTCTTGTTGCCATCCATCATGCTACCTTCTGTGTCAACAGTCTTGCGCATTACATTGGTGATACTCCCTATGATGACTACCACACTCCCAAAGATTCCTGGATCACTGCTATTGTTACTTGTGGTGAAGGCTATCACAATTTCCATCATGAATTCCCTCAAGATTACCGTAATGCTATTCTCTGGCATCAATATGATCCTACAAAGTGGCTCATTAGAGGCCTGAGTTTCATTGGTCAAACGTACAACTTGAAAACTTTCTCTGCCAACGAGATTCAAAAGGGCAAGGTTCAAATGATGGAGAAGAAGGCTGATGAAATCAAGCAAACACTTAGCTTTGGTAAGACTCTTGCTGAACTGCCTGTTTATACGATGGAGGAATTCCAAGCCAAGGTGAATAGCGAAGATAAGAAGTGGGTTCTTTTGGACGGTATCATGTACGATGTTGAGAACTTTGATCACCCTGGTGGAGCCAAGTATCTTAATGCTGGTATTGGTAAGAATATGACCAAGTCCTTCAATGGCGGTATCTACAACCATTCCAACGGTGCTCGTAATTTGCTCTCCAGTATGCGTGTTGGTGTGCTCAAGGGCGCTATTGACATGAATCGCAATTTCACAAAGACTGAGGTCTGTCAAGAAACGTGTGCTGAATATGACGGTACTCTCGAGCCTGAAAAAAACAAGACTAAGTGAAGCATATAGATTTATATTTATTGCACCCCTTTATTTAACACATACATCCATTCTCTTTCCCTTTCTTCATCAAACTTTTGTATCATACCCTTGAAAATGAATAAAATATCATATAATCTATCCAAACTATGAACCCCCTCTTTGTTCGCATTTACAGACATGCATGAAATCCTAAATGAAAAACAAGGACAAACCTGAAATCATATCAACGAGGATGCTCACATTCGGCTCAACCCTCAAATAAGATTGGAGTTAATTGTGGGTGAAGATGACTAGAAAGCTGCGGCTACATATATTTTAGTGACGAACCAGGCTGACTGGTGTTATCATATATAAAAATGCCCAGCAGAAGCAAAAGAAAAAGCTAAGCGATAGTTATTTTGATTTCATAATCCCCATTCAACTAGCATTCCAAACATCATTGTCATCACCAGAAATGCATTTTGGTCAGCCAGCAGCGCCAAAAATTTCAAACTCAGGAACATTTTTTTCTGCTCAACATTGGCCAGACCTCGCCTTCTTTCGACTTCTTTAATCAATTTTGTGCGATTCGACTATACAGGTTGTGATGATCGGCCCCTACTTTCTAATACATTCTTGGAGTACTTTTCAAGGTGCTTCCAATGATGCCAAATAAAATAGATGTATTTAATAAACTTATAAAGCAATTTCAAAAAATACAAAATGAGGTTTTTAGCGAAAATATCCAAATTTTGCATACGAAAGTCTCATAAAAGTAGATTCAGAGGTTGCTTTGGATCGAGAGAAACATTTTGAATTAATTTATACCCTAGTAAAAGTTTTCATTTTCAAGGTGGAAAATACAATCGTTTGATTTTCGATGAAAACCATGAGGGGTACCTCATGCTTTTTGGTCAATTTTTGGCCATGTTTTTTGGTTCCCCAAAAAGCTGCGCAAAGGTGTCAGGAAGTTGCTGCTATTCGAGTATAATTGTTTGGCGTCATTCCGGTGGCTCAGAAAGGCCTACATGGCAACATATTAGGGCTTATAAGCTGTAAAGTTTGGCTGCGTTTCATACATTTGCTTGTCAACAGGCGCGTTTTCTTATGTGACAAAGGCCTACAGATACTGTATGCTTTAAACTAGACTCGGAAAGTTCTGTTACATTGAAGTATTCAGTTGGAAATATTAGGTTGGGTGGCACTGTTGTATCGCTGCATCATAGCACAATGATACAGCTTATTAGTAAGGTAATGCGGATGTAAATCACGCTGGACGTTTTAGATGCAATAGATAGTTTGTATCTAGTATAATTTAAACAACAATTCTGCTACTTGTTAGCCTATTAAGATAATCCTGAATGTGCAGACAGTGAGATTCTTATGCCCAATGTCAATGAGCTGTTACACATTTGACCTGCAAGCCAAGGCATTTCGCCATAGTCTAATGAATCCTAAAAGCAGCGGTGTTACAGACTGGAATTCTCAGCTTTTAACACGACATTAAAACTTTGAGATGCGCACAAATGTTCTTCCAACATTACGAGCCATATATCAAGGCCATAATCTGATCTTTCCAGGTTATGGCATTTCGCTTTATTATTTTATAGTGCACTAAGCTTTTGTACAATGCTATCGGAAGCTACTCTAAACAATGACATTATAATGAAGTGGAGCATGTGTTACAATGCTGAAAATTCAATGTCGCCTTTACAAAAGGTATTGCAATTAGTCTCAGATGTTTTGTGCGGCGCTAAATGATGGAACTTGCAATGTCTGATGATTTATCAGTAATATTAAATAGTTATTATTCTGGCTACGAGGCTTTGGTGTATACGGTCGCATTAGCTGCGTATAAGGAGTTGCTGTCATGCCGTCCAAGAGCAATATGTGTAAGTGTGTGTATCTGTTTGCGATCAATTGGCAAAAATAAAACCCAATTTGTAACGTTACACTCCAGAGCTTTCAAACGTCATTTCTTTATCTCACAGGTTTGTAGTCAGTGGAAGAGAAACAAGGGCAATTGAACAAAGTAGCAGTTGCATGAGCTGCACTGGAACCGTAGATGGCTGACGCTACTTGTGTTTTATGCGCCAAGATGAACGAACAGGCCGAGTGAAAGCGAGAGGCTTATATTTATATAAACAAATGCTATCACATGAGGGTTTTCTTCCTTCTTGGCAACTAGAAGGACAGAAAAAGTGATATGAAAGTGATAACATTTCTAAATCCGTCATTGCAATGAAGAAATTACGATTGAGCAAAGCCGCAATTGTTCTTTTCATCACTATTCAAAGATATAAGAGGTCTCAACCAGGGGCATTTATCATAGAGACATGTCAAGTTGAGAGATGCAAAAGAGCTCATTCACTAGATTTTGCTTGGATTCAAAACTACTGTAGAATGATGATATTTTTAACTTTATGGAACCTTCGCTTAGATTCGGAGGCAGAGATGCCATTTCATTTGTTGGACACATTTGTAAAACTTGACGATTGAGGTCAAAAAGGAAATTACAAGCCCTGCTCCTATTGTTTGAAATCGAAAAAGAAAAGGTATAAAAGGCAAGACATCAGCTTCAGTTCCCCTTTATCTACCTTTCGCCTTTTCTTCTGTCCTGTCATAAAGAATGAAGTTCTCTGCTGTTATTGTGTACCTTTCTTGTTTGATCGCTTTGGTTTTCGGCCAAACCACCACCACTCCTGCTCCCCTCAACGCTGGGGTTGCCATCACCAATCCTGTACTCAACGTAAGTCATTATCGCTTAAGTACCTTTGCTGTTAATGCTAATCTATTCTACTGAACAGTCAACTGCTTACGCTGGCTCCAATTACACCATCACCTGGACTGTTTTGGATCCCAATGCCACCACTATTGAGGCTATCAGTTTGATGAACGGAAATGCTGCTGCTTTGACGGTAATCTACCCCAACCTCCTCACCAATGGCTCCATCCCTGTCTCTGATTTGCAGTACAACTGGACCATTCCCGCCAATCTCACTACCCGTGAAGACTGTAAGTTATCAAATGTTCTATACCGAAAGGTAGCAAATGGCTAATTGTTTTTCTATTTACCAGATGTTCTCACCATGCGTGGCAATAACTCATATGTTACCTACTCTAGCTACTTCTCCATTGTCAACAACAATGCCACTAGCACCAACGCCACTGCTTAACATTAGAAAATTTCAATCATCCATATAAATAACAATGTACAATAATAAAAACTACTCAATCTACTTAAAAAGACTTGTATGCCTGCGTGTCTACTTGATCTAAATCAAAAATAAATGGCATATCTAGGCACTCTCTACATGTGCCAGCCATTGATACATTCCGCAATGTTGATTTTTGCCAACAATTATATGAAATAGTGCTTTATGAGCCCTAGATAATCTGTATCAAGCTCACTCGTATATCAGCTTGCAAATTAAAGACTTCATGCTTTGTGATTGTGCAAAAAATCAATCTCCAGGCTATCATTCGAGGTCTGTAGGATCTTGTTGGGAACGCTGTAGAAGTCTCTTGGGCTTGTGGAACTATCAACGCTCTTCAGGAACGATAAACAAAGCAAGCCTGTTGGTTGCTGGGAGGTTTCTGAATGTACTATAATCAGGATACACACTTGACAGAACCATTTGCACCTGATTGAATATATCTAATATAAAAATGCAAAAGAGAGCAATCAGGTTAAGCAATAGTAGTGTTTCTTGGTGCTCAATTCCCATCTCGATAGCCTCAAAGGCGTTTTGCCAACAGCAGCAAAAAATAGTTTAGATCCCGTCTTTTTTTTTTTTAGATCAAAACGGAAATTTCTGTTAGATAAAGGACTTTAAATAAAGCATTCATTTGCCCTAAAAAAAAATTTCTGTTAGATTTTCGACTTTGGTTGAACTATTTTCCAAAATTCGACCACGTAATTTCTAGTAACCACCCCTTAACCCCTTAAGTTTTTCTGGAGTACTTTTGAAGGCGCATCTACTGGTGCTAATTGTAACAGGTGTTTTGGGTCAACTTATTCGGCAATCTTTGAAAGTATGAAATTAAGTTTTTGGCTAAAATGTTAAGATTTTGCATATAAAAGTATTCCAAATACACTCTCAGGGGCTGCTTTGGATTGAGAGAAACATTTTGATTTAGTATATGCCATAGTAAAAGTCGTCGTTTTTGAAGTCAAAAGCGCGATCGTTTGATTTTCGATAAAAACTATGAGGTACCCCTCATGCTATTCGGTCGAATTTTGGCCATGTTTTCTGAGTCCCCAAAAAGTTAGGCAAAGGTGCCAGTAAGTAAGTGCTAGATGAGAGCAACTATTTGGCGCTATTCTGGCAGTCTGAAACAGCCTCCAACACGAGAAATTACCACCTAAATGCATTCAAATTTTGCTGTGATTTGCGTATTATTGGGTAGTGAGAGGTAATGCAAGCGAGGTGTCTGTTCTTATATGAATTAAATTCATTAATTCAGACGTGGAGCATCCTAAAAGAGTCAGATCTACAGTTACAAGTCAATTATGGGGGGAAGGGGCTTTCAGGCGAAAGATAGTTTATATTAACATGACACATTGCTCAGACCGGCAACGCTAGGCAAGCTTGGGAAAATACCAGTATACTTCTTGCTCCTATATGAAGTAGCTACATATATATGAAGAATTTCCATGTGTAAGTGGAGGGTCAAAATGAAAGTAGCGATAAGATACGCAAGGGCAATCGGTAGCGCGAGCTGCCGCTGCGCAAGTTGGTTCTCACCGAAGCGAAGCGAAGGTAGAGAGCCATCCAAAGCATAGACACTCGTATGACATAAAAAATGCCTTGTCCTGATAATTTCGTGACCATTTGAAAGCATCCGCATCGTAGACTTATGGCTGTTGGAATACAGTGTTGAAAATTAAAGGCTAAATTTGCCATTATAGCATCTCCATTCAAGCAGCCAATGAGCTCTATTTATCAGCACAGAGCAATTACATCTTTCAAATCGCATTTCGATCTTCTTTTTTCCGATTAGCATAGAATACGATAGACAAGACAGCTCGAGTCAAGCATATATGTTATGTCAATGCTTCATTGGATCTCAAATAGGTGCCTCTTCAATCTCGAGGTTTAGCTCCAACTGGACAGCAACATCCTTTACTGAATGACACAACCAGGCACCTGAAGACCTATACTCTGTACTACCGTATGAATATCGTTGAAAAATCGCTTTAGATAATGAGTAGCCTCGTTGCAATCTAAATGTTATGTATATCCACCAGTAATATGCTGGCTTTCCTAAATCATGCTTGATGTGCCAAGTATCTAGAATTGAACTTGAATACGAGCAGAACTGGATACAGACCCCAAGAAAGTATCACCGTTATGACGAGGCAACATGACCTTACAATAATACCAAACCCTGTTCTGTTTTGTTCTTTTGAGTAATATAACTAATTAACTTTATCGATAATAGGCAAATCGCTCGACTGTGAATCACACTAGTTCATCGGAAGACGGATAAGCATGGCGACTTATGAAGAAGATTTCTCAGGTGATGTTAGCTGTATAGTGTTTGTAGTGTGAAATGTGCACAACAAGGTACAAAATACGTATGCACGCGCACGTACGCACGCACGTACGTCCATAGGCGTTAGCAAGAGCCCCATGACCACGTTTGTGCACCCACCAAAAGAAATGTTCAACATGTTATGTGCATTCCTTATTATACATGCGATCTGGAAGAAAACTCAGGGTGAATAACCTAATAAAGTCAAAATGAATGATATCTTCAAGAATCGCTAGCATTTCATAGGTGTATTGGCTCTCATGTAATACCAAAAACAAGGCTGGAGCAACCCTAAAATGGTTGTCGTAAGAAAAAAAAGTTTACTATTATACAAAATGACCTCGTGTTTAGAGTGGTGGTTGTGGGGTAAAGTCAAGAAATCACCTAGAAATGGACACAAAATGACTCGACTACACGTTGAAGACAGTAAAAAAAAAAAAAAAAAAAAAAAAAAAAAAAAAAAAAAAATCGTGTATATTTCAATGGCAATATTGTTCTGTTTGTAACTTTAGTAGGTTACAAGTTCTCTGATCATTGGTTAAGCTGTGATTATATATCATGGAACTTTTATCGCAATGAGGGTGACTAGTCGGCACACACATGATGGTTGTATTTATATTTGATCCATTACTATATACACAGCACAATAGAATAGTGCAACTCGAGCATCGAGCTGTTGTTTACAGATACGACAATGTAAGGTACAAGAGTCATGTTCAAAAACGAGACAGGATGCCGCGGACCGTGCAACATTTCACAAACGAATAACAATAGGAAAAGAAGGTTTTAGTAGATTTAATTCTTGGGCACCATTGATTGCATTGTATGATTAATAGAAACAGAGTTTGAGCAATACCTGAATCATTAAGAAAGTTTAAATTGATTGCATGTACGCACATGTTTTCGCGTAATGAACCACGTTGAAGTGGAGATGCCGCATTGAAAACATCAAGCTACTGGAATCCCTGTAATGTATCACAGCATGTTGCCTTTTTTGATATTAAATCACATTTTTACAGCAGTGGAACAAAACGAATTGAAATGTTGGATAGAAAGAGCATTATTATTACAGAAATCAAAAGAAAAAAAAAAGAGTCTATAGCGATTTGGTTCATGTCAAAAACTGGAGTATATGTATATTAAAGCCATCAAGACGATATAATAGAGGGGAAAATAGAGTGAAGGAATGGAGATGAGGGTTATATTTAAGCTACTACATATTCATAAATAGGGGTAGAGATCATAAAATGTCATAGGATAAAGAAGAAGAAAAAAAAAGGGGATTTCATAAGGATATATATATATATACAAAAAGGCTGGCTCTCATAAATAGTAGCTTGGGGGGTGGAAGTTGGTGTTGTTGTTTGTTTTTTGTTGTTTAAGACAATGAAGCACAAGAGTAGTTTTGAAACTGGTTTGTTGAAGATTAGGGAGAAAGTTGTAAAAAAAAAAGTCTAAATAGGTTGGAATAAATATAACAAATGTATAGGGTTGCTGTTGTTTTTTGTTGTTTTTCTCTGATTTTCTGGTGTTTTTGTGCTTTTCTGATATTTTGGATAATAGATGAGATCAAAATCATTGCTCTAATTTGATAGAGAATGGGTAGGATGGCCTTTGCTGTTGAATAGGATAAGGAGGCGATCTGCTGTAGAATGTATTGCTGCTGTAGGGAGAATTATCAGTCCATGTAGGTTGTTGATGGTGGCTATATGAGATAGGTTGACATCTAGTCATCATAGGTGGCTTACTCTCGTAATGGTGGGTATATGAAATATGTTGCTGAGGGTGAGGCAGAGAAGCTTGATGGTGATGGTGAGGGCGGAATGCGATGGGAGCAACCATGGGCGGTGAAGAACGGTAATCCATCAGAGTCGTAATGGGACTAGTAGGGATGTCATCTGAATCACAGCTAGTAGCAGGAGATGCGGGCGAATAAGGCGAGGCAATCTTGGAGAGGTTGAAAGTTTTCCATTGAGGATCATGACATCTTTGATGTCTAGACAATGTAGTTTTACGAGTGAAAGATTTGCCACATTCTTGGACATCACAAACATAAGGGCGTTTGCCAGTATGTGTACGGCGATGTCTAGCCAAAGAGGAAGACTGCATGTAGACATTTAGTATTCGTTATTGATGCAACATCAGATCAAACTTACATCGCTGAATGATTTGCCGCAAGAATTGTATTCACAGACATGAGGTCTTTCGCCTGTATGAGTGCGATAATGAACTGTCAAAGCGGATCTCTGGATGAATTGCTTTCCGCAACCGTGCCATTCGCAGTGATAGGGGCGTTCTCCTGTGTGAATTCTCTTGTGTCTCGAAAGATCTGAGCGTCTAGAAAAGCGTTTTGTGCATTCATCCCAAGTGCACACATAAGGTTTATCTGATTGGTGGGTCATAGATGTAGGTGGAGGCGAATCGATAGTCATGCTGGATGAATAAGATGAAACGCTACTGCTTAAATAGGATTCTGCTGGTTGTTGATCATTATTGTTAAGTAAATTACGAATATCCATAGTGTTAAAATTTGTATAAAGAGAGAGATGAAAGAAAAAACAAGAAAAGAGAAACCCTCCATCAGATTCTATGAAAAATGAAGCCCTTTATATAGTCCTTAAATGTCACGGGGTTCATATTATTTTAAAGTTTTTGTGGGAGTTACAAAGGCGTAGCACAAGGCTATTTTTGAATGACACGACTAACGAGCGCAAAAGGGTGAGTTCAAGTGTAATCTTTTGAGTCACAATCGATTCAATTTTAATAAAATGCTTTGAAATGGAATGGAGCTCGATTCCCACCCCATAAATAATTGATGAATAAAGAATATTCCACAAAAATGACACATTTATCAAGGAGAAATGTCAAAAAACCACACTAGAAAAAAAAAAAAAGGATGAGCGAGCCATGGTAAGGGGTCCGAGCTGGTGCCCTCTTTTTTTTTTTTTTTTTAAAGAATGGTGGTCGGTCATCACATAAAATGTCAATTCTCTTCACTAACTGTACCGTGCGTTAAAGATAGATTTGTGAATGATGGTGGACCTTTTACCAGCTGACTATAAAAGAGATACCCCCCCCTACCACACTGACCATCAGATCTTATTTTGAAAAAGATCAAAGTAAACACATAGACTCTCAGAAAAAATGACGATCTCTAGGAATGAGAATGACGACAAGCAAGATCCATAGTAGTAACCATAAATGTCTGGTTTCTATGTAGTTTGAACGATGATCGATTTTGTAGTATAAAAGTATCGGGACTGAAATCCCATCTCATCATGTTGTTACCAATATTGCTCTTTTGTTTGTATACCCATACAAGCGAGTTGGTTTTTGTAATACAAACATGTATCATTCAAGCACGCTACCGCCTCTTTGTTCCATCGTTTTGGAGCCCATTACGAAAAGGTATAAATTCAGTGTTTGCTTGATGAAATGAACAAATTAATTTTACCAATTAACAAGCAATTTGCTAATTCTTCCCCTTTGAGGAGAGCCACGTTTTTTCGAACACTAAATTTCTTGTGTAATATATATTATCGCGTGTGTTGGTACGACAATACCATTAAATCAAATAGGATATTGTATGCGTAAACGTCACCTGTTGAATATCTGAGTTGAGCCTACAAAGTATATTAAAAGTAGTACAGTGGAATGAAAATAGGAAGGTAGGTTTATCAAGAAGGTACCTATCGGATGCTAGGGCACGAGCCACTAAGAATCGTTTCCTTGAAAACGCTGCCAGAGACCATTTCACTTGCAGATCGATCTTCAAAGAGTGACAGAATGTTGAAATGCCATCACGGTGAGGCATACATTGAATGCTGACATTTTCATCATTTAGTCCAGTCATAGTTTTATATCTCATTCTATAGTAACTGAACGTATGATCGACCAGTGATTTTATAATAGAACATTATTTTATATTGGATCATTCCCAATGTAGGACGAACAATGTTCAAGATTGATCTTGTAAAACATTAGCAGAATAACCCGCGCGTCATAATGCTAAATTAACTATAAATGTAGATTTGCCATAATTCGAGCATAATCGATGCTAGGGTCGATTTATCAAGCTGTATCGCAAGGATAACTGCTGCCTAAGATGTACACTGGTTTTCCGCGAGGCAACAGCACAATGTCGCTCGTCGTTCAAGCTCTCAAATGTTCATCAAGTTAGTATAGCTTCCCTTTTGACTTGCCGCCAAGAACAGTGTTCTATTCATTGTCATACAATCATTTAGTCATTCAAGTCCGCGTATTATTTTAAAATTATACTATCCAACACACACATATCATGTATATATATATAACGCTCAGGTTGTTTCGATCTAAAATAGATGAACTCTTCCTGTTTTTGCAAAATGTCAGATCCCGAGTTTTTCTCTTCTCTGCATGTCTATTTTTGCAATTTCGTGTGTGCATTCTTAACATGCAGATATCTATAGATTAGTTGGGTTTCATTTTTAAGCGTTTTGTATGATGCTGCTCCATCACAAATCATCGATATATGACAGCAAACCATTTCAGGGGAGAACAAGGGCACAATTGAGTCGGCGTGTCAACTTGGCTTTTTGGCTGCCCATCATGAAGAAGCATTTTGTTTCTCAAATTACAACATTCATGAACCTTCTTTGCTCTCGTGGCTCTCGTACGTTTTTATTTTGGGTATAGGTCCGTTACTTCGGGAATGGACATAGTTGGTGCGCTTGGACCTTGATAATAATTCATCCATATTTAATAATTCTACATGTTGGATCCACCTTGTCACATCAAATTTCACACTACTTTAAGCACAATCTGGTCTGTATCATTTGATCTGCATATGCCGCATGCGTCATATCTTGAACCTATATTCTGAAACATGGGGACATATGAAGGAGAAACATATTTACACAACACAATTAAGGTTACAAAGAGCGGGAGTTGCGAAAAGAGAGTTTGCCATGTGGAAGGGCATTCAAGACCAGATGCTTGATAAACGAGCGGCGGGTTGCACAATAAGTCAATATGTGTTCTGCCTCCCTCTTTGAGTAATGTTCTTGAAATGCACCCATTTATTGAGTTTATGCACCTATTTATTTTTGCACATTGAAGGACAAAGCATGGTAGTTTATTATAGAAAATTAGAAAAGATTCTGCGATGCCAAGTGGTTTCAAATGCATCATGTCACCGCATATTGAGAAATAAACTATCTGAGAAAAAAACCACAATTACTACACAGACTATGTTGACGAGATGGCTTTTCTGTTTCAAATGTTGATTTCAGTTGATGCTTGACACGCTATGGTATCTCTCTGTTCAGTTTGTCAAATGTGCGATGTTTTTTATATGATGCAAGTATAAATAGATCTCATTCAGAACAATTAGTGATTAATAAGCGCTAAAACCATTCCCTTGGGACAGAAGCCATATTGGATGATATGTCCTTAAATTTAAACTTTCTATAGGCTTCCAATTGTACTAGTTGTTTCATGATGGCACCAATCTCAACATATGATCTGTGGCCTGAGCCCCTCTGCATTTGCCTTCTCATCACCCATCGCCCAACATTTTCCTGGTAATTTGATCAAATGATACATCTACCTTTCCTTTTTTTCTGTTGAATCATCGTTAAGCTTCCATCAGTCGGATCCTTATTAAAGACGTCGGCATTGAAAACCGCTAAAGAACCCAAAGCTTAAATCGCACACTAGCATATCAGTAAGCTTTCTGGTTAGACTTGTCTGTTTAATGTGGAACACAATCTGAGCCATATGTAATTTCTGGCTGTTTGACTACAAGAGTCAGTAGAAAAGCGCAAGCATAATCATGTGTCCACTCATGCATGCATACACAGCAAAAATGATTACTATTCGATTACAACCCACAAACGTAAAGATGGCCCGAATCATGCATTCCATCTATAAGTCATCAGCCCCATGATGAAATCTAAGCAACTTGGCACTGTTGTAATGATGACTTATTACGATGTGAGGCACAGGTTTCTGTTTGTAGTCGTCTTCTTATGTGTGTGCGAAAAAGTGTGACCCATGGAACTTAATGAACCGTTATTTCATTGTTGTTTACGACCACAACAATGGTGATAGTATCACGCCAAATCATTTAGTGTAAGATACAGTCCACAACAAATAAAAGATAATATTTTCATCATCAAGAACACCATCTTCAAGATTAGATAATTAACTCTCGTGTTCACGTTCGTGACATGGAATGCTCAACCGAGAAATTTGTGTCCAGTGTCCCTATTAGTCTCTCACGCACACATGAGCTTGTCTTTCAGTCAAAGCGTCTTGTATAATTCAATTATTTGTTGTGGATAACGAAAACCTTGTTACTTGACCAGGCTTGATTTATATTTATTGTTCTGCATCATTGGTAGTCTGTATTACGTTGCCCAACTTTTGGGCTCGTCTGAATGTGCTAATGCTGTAAAAAAATAGCATCACGAGAAACGAGGCTTTATTGCAGGGCATATCGTCCAAAGAGCCCCAACCGTACTGATGGCATAAGTTGTATGCAGATCAAAGATTTTTCAGGTACCAAGACAACGGCGTTTTAATGTTATCGACTACGACCATGGCATCCCCAATCTTTGATTTCGTACAGCCCCACATATACTTGACATCAAAGTAGAGATAGGACATACGCAAGATGGCATTTATATAATCATTCGAGCAATAGCCAACCCAAATGGCACTTTGTATGCTGATTAAAAAGCCACTCGTTTTTCTTTTACATAATCTCGTTTACCTTTGTCGCGGTATCAGAGACAAAAGCTTGCATTGGAAAGACATCTGGCTTATTTTATTGAATTAATCTAACTAAACATACAGAGTGATGACAAAGTTTAAGAGGAGCCAGTACCATACTTGCCCTTCCAGACTTCTTCCATCTTCTCATCAATTCTGGTGAACAAATATTCAGCACCACCCAACACATGGCCCTCCTTGATATCCATGGCAAATTCATCGGGAATAGTACGAAGAGGAGCATTTAATTGACGGCACATGCTTTCAGAAGCAGCAGGCATGTAAGGACTGAGGACAGCAGACAAAAGGTAGATCAAATTGGCAGCAGTAGCAACAACGGCATCACACTTGGGACGAGACTCATCAAACAAGGCATTGCTCAAGTTGGCTTCTTGAAGATATTGATTACCACGAGCAGAGATGTTCATAGCAATACCAAGGCCGGATCTAAGCTTAACATTTTCCATAGTATCGATGTATTGCTTCAAGAGTTCATTCACGTCCTTGATGAGGCCACTTTCTAACTTCCCAGAGAAATCAGCCTTGGGAATAACACCATCATACTTGGCAAAGATGAAACGAATAGCACGGTTAACAAAGTTACCAAGGTTGTTCAACAATTCACTGTTGTTCTTGGTGATGAACTCGTTCCAAGTGAACATGGAATCACTCGTTTCGGGACGAACGGACATGAGGTAGTAACGCCAGACGGAAGGAGGAATGCCAGTGGCCTCAGCATTGTTACCAAAGACACCTACATTACGAGATTTGGAGAACTTGCCACCTTCGTAGTTGAGATACTCTATCACCCACGTTGTCAATTATCAGTCTACATGCTTCAACAAACACAACTTACCACAAGTACTGATGTGGTTGACAGTAGTCCACTTCTCGCCAGTACCAATCTCACAACCAGGGAAAATGACAGAGTGGAAAGGCACATTGTCCTTACCCATGAATTGGTACAACTTGACGTTCTCGGGGTTCTTCCACCACTTTTCCCATTCATCGGTGTAGTTGGCAGTGATGCTAGGATAACCAATAGGTGCATCAAACCAAACATAGAACACCTTATCCTCATAACCCTCCAAGGGAACAGGAGTACCCCACTTCAAATCACGGGTGATACAACGAGGTCTCAAACCTTCCTTCAACCAGGATTGAGTGATGTTGACACCATTAGCAGACCACTTACCATCAACAGCAGATTGCTTAAAGGCAGCTTCAATTTCAGGCTGAAGCTTGGCCAAATCAAGGAAGAGATGGTTGGAGTCCTTAGTGATCGGAGCATTACCATCAAGCTTACAACGAGGGTTGACAAGGTCAGTAGCGTTCAACAACTTGCCGCAGGCATCACATTGATCACCACGAGCATCGTCGTACTTGCAGTGAGGACAGGTACCTTCAACGTAACGATCAGCCAAGAATCTGCTACACTTTTCACAGAACAATTGTGTCATAGTTTCCTTGATAATGTTGCCATTCTTGTAGTTCTTCAAGAAAATATCTTGAGCAATCTCTGTTTGCCTGTCGGTGGTGGTACGGCCAAACAAGTCAAAAGACAAATCAAACCATTCATAAACAGCATTGTGGATAGCGTTGTATTTGTCACAGAGAGCTCGACATGAGACACCTTCTTCCAAAGCTTTGGTCTCGGTAGCAGTACCGTATTCATCGGTACCACAGAAGTAGACAGTGTTGTATCCACGAGCACGACAGTATCTAGCATAAACATCTGCACTCAATGTGGAACCAACAATGTTACCCAAATGAGGCACATTGTTTACATAAGGAAGAGCAGAAGTGATCAAAACGTTACGTTCGTTGTCTTTGGGAAGAACTCTGCAGCAGTTGTATTAATATCACTGACACTGTATTTTCATGCCGTCCACAACTTACTTGACAGATTGATCAAGACCCTTGGCAGCGACATTGTTGACCTTTTGGGTAGCCTTGTTGAAAACAGGCTTAGGAATCTCTTTGGCGACCTTCTTTTCCGCAAACACAGCCTTGTTCTTGGGTTTTGCACCTTTATTTGTCTGAAAATTACGAAATTTTACAAATTATGAGTCATATTGCCACTATTGCCCCCTTTTTTTTTTCCACGGTATTACCTGTTCCTTGACATGCTCTACACCAGCAGTAAACTTCTCGTTCTTGGAGACATTATTGAACCAGGAAGACAAGGTGGGGTATTTGCTAAGATCCTTGGCAGATGATAAAGTCTCGAAAAGAGTACCGTAGTAAATCACATCAACCAAAGTGACATTGGAAGCTTCCTATTATGCAATAGATCAAAGCATGAATATATGCGACTCATACTCGATCTCGCAAACACACAATACCTTGGCAAAGGCATTGGCATGCTTGATGAGGATTTCTTCGGCGTTTTGGAAAGCTTGATCGATTCTTCTCTTGATGACAAGAGGGCTGACAGAGGTCTCTTCCTTTTCAATGACAACGGATTGCAAAGCATTGAAAGCAGTGGCGTTGAAGATGTACCTGGATTTTACATGTTTAGTTACATCCATTTTCTCCGTGAGCTGCTTGAATGCAGATGCATAGAAGCTATTGACCTTACTTTAAAGCAGCGTTCGCGTCTGTCAAAGAGACATCGTTTGATGCAACAAAAACGAGAGCATCGCCGGGAGTCTCGACGAGCTTGGCTCCAGTAACCTGGGCAGCGATTGAGAGCTTCAATGCGTTGGCATAAGGCTTTGTGTTGGCGGACAACTTGGGCACAGTTATCTTAATGGCTGCGGGCATCTTGCTTTGAACAAAAATATGAAGGAAAAAAAAGAGATATCTTTGTAGAATCTTGTGGAATCATCAACATTTTGTGTGAGTTTAAATGCCAAAAAAAATCGATGGAATAAGCCACTAATCTCTCACAGTGTCTGAAACTGTGGATGGCGTGCTTTGAGAAAGAGTAATCATGGCATTCATGCTGTGTACACAATTCCTCGCAGCATACAGCCTTCGTCTATCTCAGATGTACCAACGATCATATCCCTCTCACTATTCCATGAAGCTCAATGGATTCGCATATAGCCCAGCCCATGCATCCTGATGCTCAATAGAAATACCCACATCCTAGTGCTGCTCAATCGAGTAGTTTCCATCCAGTTACCACTTGTCGAATAACTCCATCACTCATTGATCAAGGAAAATTTGTTAAAACCTTTTTTCCCTGTTTATTTTTGTATGTAATTTTTCGAATTTTGTATATGAAATAATCTAAGCAGACTTGACCAATTGTGCCAAAGTGTTTTCGATATCTTGTGCTGATGCGTTGTTGAGAGTTACTTTGCGTTCGATGCCTTTATCTATATCAAATGTCGAGGTTAACTTACGAATCAACAGTAAATGCATATCTCGGATGCCTTACCGAAACGAGCAAAGGCACGAGCCTCAATACCGCTGGCTTCACGGACCAAGATGGGAAGTTCAGGGTTGACCTTCTTGATGTTAACGTAGTTCTTTGCAACGAAATCACTGTGTAGATTGTTTAATGGATGTGTACATGTGACATTAGCTGTATACCTCGTTACCGAAGACCACTGCTGGAGGGAGAAGTTTGACAGAATTGAAGACGGAGCTCCTTGAGACCCTTTAATTGTGATTTGAAAGCAGACATGATAAGTCGTTAAAAGAGTGAGGGGTAAGAGAGATAAAATGTGTAAGGTGGGGAAAAACAAAAATAAATCTACCACACACATCTACCCTGGTGTTGAGTTTCAACCATTCAACACTCTTTAATGACGCCGTTTTTCGAATTTAGCGATTTTGATCTTTTGACGTTCACCTGAGGTGCGAAACAAGTAGCTCAGCTTGATCAACAAGATCCAATTGCCTTGAATGTTGTTGAAATTACGCTTGGTACAGGGACATATAAACCGCTATTATACTGTACATTTGATCCAGTATGATAGCTATGACATGAGAAGAAGCTCATACGCTTGTCACATGATGCTGCTATCTCATTCAATAATGTCGAATAAGAAGTCAATCTCTTGTTGAATGTAGTTTGAAATATTGATACAAAATTTAATAAAAACTATCATGAAAGATGTGTCATAATAAAAATGAGAGTAAAAAAGCAATTACAAAGAATAGAGAGAAAAAAGACAGGAAAATATATATGAAATCTAGATAAAATGGTGGCGGATGTATATGGCGGGTGTATTGAGCAGTTTAGTTTCTCTTACGCTTGGATCCAGAGACAGCAGACCCCTTTAAGCGAGAGTTGAGCACCTTCTTCTTTTGTTCATCAGGCTTGACCTTGTTGCGGTTCTTGTTCTTAACATTTGCTGTCTCGTAATAATGAACACCGGCCTTTTTACCCTTCTTATCAGCTTCAAATTCGTTGTTATTCACTCGGACCTTCTTGGCAGGTTGCTCTTCTTCCTCCTCAGCTTCCTCTTCGTCCTCTTCGGCTCCACTCATTTCGAGCTCGCTATCAACATCGTTCTCAACCTCCTCTTCACCTTCAATGACAGGTGCCTTGACAATGGGACCCTCTTCACCGACGACGCTCTCGAAGACTTCATCCCAATCAGTAATCTCGGATTCAGCAGCAGCAGCAGGCTTGGATTTCTTGGGCTTTTCAGCAGTGCCTTCGGCATATGCACGAGCAGCAGCCTCTTCAGCCTTCTTGGCTTTGGCTCTAGCACGCTCTTCAGCAACTAATTGAGCATTGTTTGCTAAATCATCCTCCAGATAATCACTGGTAACATTGATCTTTGCAAACATTTGCTCGACACCAAATTTATTCTTCTTTTCTTCCTTTTGTTCAGCAGTCAAAGGCTCGACAGCCTCAGGAGGAGGAACATAGAAGGGAATACGGCCACGGAGCCAGTCATTGAGAACCATAATAGACACATTGTGAACATCAGGCTCACCCTTCTTGAGTAATTTACCAGTCTTTCTAGCAATTTGCTCCAAAAAGTCAGTGTGATCCTCCCAGCCTTGGAGACCGTAAGTTCTTTTGAGGTATTCATGTCTAACGCGCTCCAAAATAGTAGGGATGGTATCTTCGGGGTTGGCCATTTTTTCCACACGAACTGAGCCTTTCAAGATAATATCGACTTCTCCATCATCAACATTAGGAGGAACGACACCGGGACAATCAATGAGGTAAATACGCTTCATCAAAGTGATGTACTGCCAGACCTTTGTCTCACCAGGGATAGGAGCAACGGTACACACCTTTTTGGCCTTGAGAGTATTGATAATGGAAGACTTACCAGTGTTGGGGTAACCAATGAAACCAACAGAAATTTGCTTCTTGTCGCTGTGCAAAGAGGAGAATTGACGCAAAAGTTGAATCAAAGAACCCTTACCAAAGGAGTTGTTGATGGAAGCATGGAAAGCAAGAGTAGGAGCAGACTTTGAAAGATGAGACACCCAACGAGCAGTAGACCAGGTAGGTACGAGATCACACTTGTTGAGGACGAAAATCAGCTGCTTGTGAGGCTTTTCCTTCTTAATAAAGTTTTCAATGTTGCGACAACGAGTACCGATGGGATCACGAGCATCAAGAACATGAATGATAACATCGGATGAATCAATGACCTTATACAATTCATTCCAGATACGCTTAGATTGACCAGCTTGGAGATACCAGGCACGAGCGGCATCTGTGTAATCGGATTCCTTGTTAGCCAACAAACTGCTATCCTTATCAGACTTGTATGTTTCTACGCAAATATATATGAATACGAAACTCATGCAACTCGCCATCCTAGCTTATTTACCATGAGTATCGTCGACTCGAGTCATTAATTCCTCCATTGATCCAATGTTCAATTTGGGCTTCTTTCTTTGAGCCTTGTTACCGAATGTGTTGCTGAAAGTATCGGTTTCAAGAATGTGCATACGACCTTGCTTGGCTGAATCTTGCAAAAGAGACATGGGTAATTTATTTTGCTTTAACAAAACTTGGTAAGGATCATCCACTTTGGCTGCTAATGATTCACGGAAATCCTCGAGAGCCTTCTGTCCAATAACTCTAGTATTACCTAAAGACAAAGCATGTCAATATATTGCAGAATTGCTTTTAAACTAAATCAACTTACCAAACCACTTTCTGTTGGGAGCAACTCGAGCAGTTTTGACTTCAGTGCTTTGGAATTCGGCAGCTTGGATAATTCTGCCTTGAGAATTACGAGTGGCTTTACCACCCTTAAGCATATTGATGTACTTGATCTTCTTGGCATCTCTGTAAAAGTTTTCACCCTTGACTCTCAAATTCTTTGCACGATCATCACCACCAGCCTTGTCACGGGCTACTCTTTGCTTTTCTTTCTTGAATTGACCCATTTTTAGATATTAGAAAAAATTCTTTAAATAAAAGAGGGATGATATGAATAGAATTTGTGATTTGCATTCTCTTTATCGAAAAATTATCAAGGAAAAAAAAATCAAGAAAAAAAAAAAGACTGCTTTCCTTTCAAGACTGCTTTGCTATAGAGATCCAGGAACAGAATCCTTCAAATGCATAAAGAGTTCTTGCATTGTATACCTCTTCATTACAATGGCTCTGCTGTTTATCGCTTACGCTAAAGCAAATCGTCAACTTGATGCAATTTTAAGTAGGCCGAGTGCTCGTGGAACATTACAACATACTCTTATGGCTCTCTTTAAATGCGCCAATCTGCAGAAGTTCGTCTCTGTCGTGATGAGCAATATGGTGGTATCAATAAGCTTAGCGATCACAAAAGACATGAATCCAGATAGGCCTTTTGCCCAGCTAGAAAGCCTAAATTAGCCCATACAGCCAAAATCAGTCTTTTCTGCTTGAGCCATTATGTGGTAAATACCTTTGAAATTGCAGGCACTTGCAGACATTTTGATGAGTCGTTATCTATCAAGTTTGCATTGAGGTATTACCTACGAAGCATGAGGACTGTAAGAATATTCAATTCTACAAATAGCATAGAAATTTGTGCTCAGAATGGCTTCTTGCATCCCAAAAACCATTCATCGCCATTCCTCCATCTAAAAATCTCTTAATTTCAAGTTTGCCAAGCTAATACTATATCAAACGGCGCAGTGAAGTTTCACACTACTAGTCTTGAGCTAACCGTGGTATTATTAAATCATGCTGATGTTGATTGCAGTGAGTATACTAGACAGCCATTCCTTGTCAATGTACCATTGGCAATACCTACAGCAGCAAGCAATTATAATCGTGTTTTTATACATTAATACAGTAATCAACTAGAATTACTTGCTTCGTTTCAAGATCGTATACAATAAGCTGCTTTGTCGACAATGTCTATACCAGTGCAAGCTAGAGATGCTGGAGACGACAAATACAATTAGTAATTGAAGCCGTGAATAGCTTTTAATTGAATGTCTACTTAAGTTAGTTAAATGTTTGGGTAGACATGTTCTCAGAGCACACCCATTCTTCAGATACACACAACAAACTTTAAAGCGTAACTTTTGATTGATTATACAAATACTGGATTAGTTTGCAAAACAATAGGTGAGTATCTTGTATCTCGCATCAATTTTTCGGTATACAATTACCAACCGACCTATCTCGCTACGCTCTATGACGGCGTCGTCCTGCGAGCTCTCGCCGAAGACGTTTCAAATCAGAGATAATAAAAGTTTGGTATATCAAGTAAATTTTAAACGATCAATTAATAGTAACGAAAGCTATTATTGAGACGATGTGAAAGAGAGTTCAAACGCTATGCAGCATTTGTACACCACATTCTCCATTTGTGTCACACTTTCTAGTAGTAAAGATGCCATACCGCTCGCTGATGTTGCTCTTGAGATGGCGAAATACAGCTGGCCGTACATAAATAAAAGACTTCTATATGTAGAGCGACTTTTTGAGAGATTCTCATTGCAAAAGACACTTTTATAAGGGAAAACTCCCAACAAAAGCAAAAAAAAAAAAAAAAAAAAAAAAAAAAAGTATTCAAGCTTAGCGATTGCCCTTTCAGATTTATGATTCCCATTTGATTAGCATCCCAATCATCATTGTCATCATCAGAAAGGTATTTGGGCCAGCCAGCAACAGCGCCGCCCGCCAAAGCCACTTCAAACTCAGTTTATTTTTTCTGTTCAAGATTGGCCAAATCTCGTCCTTTATCGACTTCTTTAGTTTATTTTGTAAGATTCGACTATATGAACTGTGATGATCACCCTACGCTTCCTAATACATTCTTGAAGTACTTTTCAAGGCGCTTCCGACGGTACTAACTGTAATAAGTGTTTTGATTGAAACTATTGAGCAATTCAATAAAATTTGAAATGAGGTTTTTAGCGAAAATAGCCATATTTTGCATATGAAAGCCTCACAAAAGTGGTTTCAGAGGTTGCTTTGGTTCGAAAGAAACATTTTGATTTAATATACACCATAGTAAAAGTCTTCATTTTCAAGGTCAAAAATGCGATCGTTTGATTTTCGATGAAAACCATGAGGGATATCTCATGGTTTTTGGTCAATTTTTGGCCATGTTTTTTTTGACTCAAAAAGTTGAGCAAAGGTGTCGGGACGTTACTACTACTCAAGTACAATTGTTTGGCGTCATTCCGGCGCTCAGAAAGGTCTATATCTCAAGATATAAAGGCTTGAAAGCTGTCAAGTATGATTATGTTTTGCTCTAAAGCTTTATTTACACGACATAAATTACATCTTTGGTAGATGAAATTTTATGGAAGGCCAGTTCTTCAGTCTGTGCAATTTCTAATTCGAGTAGGAGGCATATTGATTTTGGTAAAGCTAATTCAGGCAAAATTTGATGCGTAATGTTGTTGGTATGCTCATTAATAACAGTGATGAAAAGCTGAATTCGCTGTTTAATACTACGGTTATGCACCTTCGCTTCGCTACTTTAAAACTCTCATTAAGATTAATGTTATCAAATATTGGATTAGATGCTTGATTGTTATGGCTCTGCACTTTCGCTTCATTACGGCAAACCCTTTTCATAGGTCAATGTTACCAAATGTTGAATTAGATGCGTAAGCCCCACATCAATGCTGGTTTTTTTGAGCCTTGTACGGTACTCTATGCTTGAATTTTTCTATGCCTCTGACCTCTAATGGGTCACTCCAACACTTTTTTTTATATAGTGTAATTTTTCAGTATAGATACTAGGGATACTTATTTGGACAACCATAAACCTGGTGCTCATGCTGTAGACAGATATGTTTTGGCTTATTTATATATAATTTATATGTCTTCTTATTATAAAACTACACACACTTTACTCTACTCACAATCTTACAACAGAAAGTCGGTGTGTGCCTGGTGGCATCTTTTTTTTTTTGTTTTAGTGTATCTTTATTAGCTCTAAAATTCAAAGGTTTTAGAGTATTTATAAGTAAGGTCAAGGTGTCAGCTTCAACATTTGTCAAAGAAAAGAAAAGAGTGTACCATGGTCTAGACGGACCATGTTCAGAGCAGCAGAATCTATCCAAGGCTCCTTATCTATGACGCATTGCCAATGATACTTCCAAAGTGCTCTGTAATAAGCAGTACCAAGAGCAATCCGAACATCTTCATGGGTCAACAGCAAATCTGAACCACTAAAAAAGCTGATAAGCGCCAACCAAATAGACGAGTCCGAGGAGAGTAGCTCCTGCAATGATAGCAAAGAGACTACATCCTGTCAGAAAAAGGTCTTGACATGGCAACCCATCCCAAAGCGGTAAATTGTATTTGATATCACTTGCAAAAAAAAATATAATATAATAAAAAAAATCTCGTTATCGTCCACTAGTGAACATCTCTCAACATCGCAACATCTCACACCATTTCATAAAAATGAAGAATTGCAGTTACCACGATTCGAAATTGTGACCTTTCCTATCACAGGAAGCCGCCTTGCCCATTATACCAAAGCACCGTACTTTATTATAACGGTTACGTAATCATATATAAAGACGATAATGCAGGTGGCTTTTGCTGCGAGGAAAGTGGAAAGAAGGTTTTAAAAGTTGAAAGTCTCGCAATTCTTTTCGATAGTTAACATTGCTCCTTCAATTTAGTTTAAGTTAATACAAAACAAAAATGCGCATCGAATGATATCATCCTTCTTGATGGCTACCTCACACAATATATTCTGACAACAAGCTTAAATTCCATACATTTTTAAGGCTTTGAAGAAACAGAAATATTGCATCTAGTAATAATCATTGTGCAGACCGATGAATTACATATCATTCAGTATTTTACTCAAATTGTAGAACCAGTTCTCATCGTGGATCTATAACAGCGCCCAATAAGCCAGCCCAAATCAAGTTGCCGAAAAACGATCGCTCAAGGAGGCCAACTTTTGCTATCCTGGTGAATATCATTATTCTAAAACATATTTAAGTTTGATGAGATTCTAGTTTTTCTTTACCTATGAGGACGTGGATGTACAAAATGTCTTTTGATTTTGAGGTTTTCAACTTTTGGACGATCGAAAATCAATTTTCTAAATATTGATGCTAGAGCCTTGAGACTAGCATGTTTCTATACCAGTTTTTTACCCTCTAAACGATGATGCAATTGAAATTTGCGTAGATAGCATGGTTGTTGAGAAAAGGGAGATTTTAGAAAATAGATAATTTTGAATAGAAGCTACTAGGGAAATTTTTTTGATTACTATATGAATGTGGGCTATATGTATAGTAAAAGTTGTGAAAATTGCATTATTTGACTAGGAGATGTTTGATGTGGGGTTATTGAGGGTGATGTCGATGAATTATGATGGAAAATAGTGTAAATGGCCAACTTTCAAATAGCCGTACCGCTGAAGTTTACTAAGTGAACATGAGCTTAAAGCTTAATAGCTTCTGCTTCTTTTTCAACTCTCTATATGATGGTATGGTTATTATAGATAAATAAAAAAAAGTTTTGATTATCCCCTGCTTGTAGCTCCTGATATATATTATTTTGAGTAAATTCATAAAGGGAACGTACACCTGGTACTTAGAACGCTTATATTATAATGGATATAATGTAGGGCTATCGAATGGTCTTTGTTTTGTGCGAATCCAGTGAGTATTTGTCGAGATATGGTCAAAAAAGAGTATCATGCAAAATCATGGATTTTTCTTCAAAATCTGCCTGTGATAGCAAGCGAAAAATCTGGTGACGATTTTTTGGTCAGGACAATATTATTGCCAATATTTTATGATAGAATCATGCTAGAGCTTCGAGCAAAAACTCATTCGATAGGAAATTTTTTGGTCTACAATGTTTAGTAATGCTTAACAAAATGTTTTGATGACAGATGCTGATTAATCTTTAGAAAACAGTGAAAAGATTGCAAAATTTAACGTATCATATATCAGCTGAATAATGT